CCACTGCGAGAATCGGGCCCTTGCTGAGCTTAGCTTAGTTATGGGTTTGCTAGTGAGAGCATGCTCTCTCTCTCTCTCTCTCTCTCTCTCTCTCTCTCTCTCTCTCTCTCTCTCTCTTTCTCTCCCCACCCCTCTCCTTCTCCCTCTCCCTCTCTCTCTCCCTCTCCCTCTCCCTCCATCTCTCTCTCCAACACAATGAGCACTCCCTGCACCCCTGTATTGTGCTGTGTGAAAGGCATTTACCTGCTAGCACTAGAATATACGCTCTGTAAGGTCAGGGGGGTCGCCTTGGTTCAGGGGTACCTTCCCAGCACCCAGGAAAGTGCGGCCACTGGGTAGGTGTTGAGTATTTCTCCTCACTGTTTAAACCTTTTTAGAGGATAAGTGACTGTTTAGAGAAAAGTGATCACAAGGTGGCCTGGGATGTACACGTGTCGAAGTGAACTGTGGACGGCAGCATGAAGACTGGGAGGGAGGACACAGAGGAGAGCATTGTGGGGCCCCTCGCACCTTAGGAAATGGTACATGTCAGCCCTTGAGATGGGCCGAGATGGAGATGTAGAAGATGGAGCTATAGGGCATGTCTGAGTCTTATGTTGCTATATAACATGCAAGTACCTATCATATAAGATATATACAGTATGTCTGCATTATACACCTTAGCAAATATATGCTGTGAAGCAACCATGAAAATAACCCCAAAGCAACCATGGACATAACAAAGCACAAAGTAGTGTAAAATAAGGCAGTAAAGGAGGCAGACTGGAATCTTCAGCCCAGAGAAGACAGAAAAAGAGGAACAGGGAGTGGAATCAAGAGCAGATGCAACCACAGAAAGCATGCCTCGGCCAGGCTGGGTGGCTCCATGGGCTGGCGCACCGTCTGTACACAGGAAGGTGTCGGGTTCGAGTCCCTGCTCTGTGTTGATCTTTAGGTTTTTAATAGTGTTGATGTTTGAATTGCATAATAACGATAGGAGGAGAGAAGATGTCCCAGGAGTGGGCATTTCAGAGAAGCTGTATGTACGGCCTGAGACAGTGGTCGGCAAACCATGGCTCACAAGTCACAGGCGGCTCTTTGGCCCCCTGAGTGTGGCTCTTCCACAAAATACCACGGCCTGGGCAGGTCTATGTTGAAGTGGCATTAGAAGAAGTATAAATTTAAAAAATGTGGCTCTCCAAAGAAATTTCAGTCATCGTCCTGTTGATATTTGGCTCTGTGGACTAATGAGTTTGCCGATCACAGGTCTAAGACATTACCATCCTAGTTACTTAGCCAAGGTTAGCCAAGCTCTATCTCTTCTCTCGGACATTAGAGGCAGTTGTTTTTGGTGTGAAACCAGCTTTAAGAATGCCGAACTTCCCAAGTAAAAGGCACTTGTCATACGCCACAGTGCAGCCGTTTTATTATGAGATTAACACCCCCCCCCCCCATCCCACCCCGTGGAGCACGCCTTTGCATCCGCTTAGTTTAAAGCTCCAAGTAAACAATGGCTGAAAAGCATCTCTCCCTGCGGTGTGGACATCACAGGGCGGCGGAAAGGTCTGCCGTCTGGGAGACAAAGATGCTTCTGTGTCTGGATTTACACTCCAGCGGCAACTAGCTCTGATACCTGCCGGTGTGCACTCACATTCCCCGTGTTTGGAGGAGGAGGGGCGATCTCTGCAGAACCAAGCCAAGGCCTCTGTGCACGCTGGCTTCCAGAGGGAGAACCAACCAAACCAACAAACAAACAAACAAACAAACAGGAAGAAACACAAACCCCTAGCCACACCGTAAGGCCGCCTGTGCAGGTGACAGACACGGGGATCTAAGCGACATCTTGCCCTTCCCTGTTCCCTTGGCGGCGATGATCAAAACCAGGGACCTCCGTCTGCCCGAGACGGAGCACAGGGTCTGTCTTAGAGACTGTCCACGTGCTGGCTCCCCGGTGACAGGAAGCAAACCCCCTCGGCGTCCCCCGGGCCTCCCTCCGGGTGGGGGCCCTGAGCTCTGCGGAAAGACCGAAAGGCCAGAAGTTCCCTCGTGAGCAGAACGACCGCTCGGCCGCCGGACAGGCGACGTGTGTTGGCTTGCCCGCCTGTGCCTGTCCGGTGCACGCGTGGGGGGAAGACACGGGTCGGCCAGGGTTAGTTTGGGGGGGATGTAGGGGGATTTCCAAGCAAAGGGAGAGAGACTCCTTTGCAGCAGCCGCTGAGCTGGAGAGAAGAGAAGATAAGACACTCACTCACTGTGAATGTCTTTTGCTCCCAACAAGGTTTTGCTTCCTGTTTAAATCTCACATCAGAGACACTCAGGCCGTCCAGCCGGTGCTGCCTCGGGTGTGATGGCACCGGAGGCCAGACCGGTGGCCACTGGGCTTTACGTGGGCGGCCCTGGCTGGTCTCTGGCGGTGGTGGGTCCTGTTTAATCTAAGGGGCGGTGGGCACTGCCGGGCTATGGCTCCAGGGCACCGGTCACGGCTGCCACTGGACAGACATTGTACCTTCGGACTGGCCTCCTGCTGACCTCGCCCCGGCAGTGTGCTCTTTGGGGCTCCCTCCCAGGGAAGTCCTCTCTCCTGCCTTCCGGCCCCATCTCCCCTTTACGGTGGAGAAAAGGACCCCACTCTTTCCTGCCCCCCCCCCCCCCCCGCTTTAATGCTGATTGCCCTCCTGGGGCGCTTGTGGGGGTTGCAGTGCGAACATTCCAGGAGCCACAGGTTGAAGGGGGAGACACACGTTCAGGCCCACATGGCGGAGCCGGAAGCCTGAGGGACTCGTGTTGTTAGTCAGAGAGAGAGGAGGGGGGGGGGGGGGAGAGGGAGAGAGAGAGAGAGAGAGGGAGAGAGAGGGAGAGAGAGAGAGGGCGAGAGAGGAGAGAGAGGGAGAGAGAGGAGAGAGAGGAGAGAGAGGGAGAGAGAGGAGAGAGGAGAGAGAGGAGAGAGAGGGAGAGAGAGAGGGAGAGAGAGGTGTTAGCAGGCAGAAATGCTGCCTTGGGACGAGGCTCTGGGAGTGTAGTGCTGAGCTCAGCATGTGGTTCTTCACGAGAAAATGGTGTCCGTGATCGGAGCAGCCGTGCTGCTGAGCCCGCATGCAGCGGGGGGTGGGCTGTGGACAGAGGCATCATTTGGGGGAGCAGGTTCTCTCATAGGGTGAAGCTGCCATCTGCACGGGTTCTGCCGGGAGGGCTGGCTGGGCCTCCCCGGTGCCCAGCCCCGGCAGGCAGCCTCCCACTGGATACTCCTCAGGACCCTGTCGCCTGGTCACCGCGTCCCAGAGGAGACCAGCTCAGACAGGGAGAGGGCAGGGCAGCGGAGGGAGGGGACGGGAGCCAGGCAGCCTGACACGGAGCCCCGTGCTGCCTCCCACCTCAGGAATGCCAGGCAGCCACGGGGATGTGGCATTGGGCACAATGGGTGCCCCGTCTGACCCTCCAGGCGGGGCCTGGGCAGCTGGGGAGGGCGCAGGGGCACCCCTGTCTGGCAGGCCTCCTGCCCCCACCCCCTCTGCCCTCCCCCGTCTCGGCCCGAGTCATTGCTTAGTTCTCTGGCTCCCGCTGGACCTGGACCGGGGCAGGCAGGTCCTGGGAAGCGCACCGAGGCCAGGGGCTGTGCCAGGGGGGAGTGGCAGGGGTTGTGCCTGGGGCAGGAGGCTGCTCTGTGATGCCGCTGTTCTCTGGCCTCTGAGAGCCAGGCAGACCCTCACCCTGTCACCCCAGCTCTTGGAGGTCCTGAGGGTCGGAGAAATACCTTGCTTCAACGAAGGCAGCACCTGCAAAAGGACCTCTCACCCTGTCTGTGTTTTGGGGTGCTTTGTGCTTCGGGGTGTTTTAAGCACAGGAGCCCCTGCGCAGGGTCTGGCCTCACCGCCGGGGCGGAGCGGGTCCCACGTGGACGCTGGCGGGGGGCGGTCTGCCCCCTCCCCACCCCGCGGGGCGCAGTGGGGGTTGGGCAAGCCGCGCCGCCGCCGGCAGAGGGCGCCCGGGGCCCGCGGAGCGCCAGGCGCTGGGTTGGGGCGCTCTGCGCTCAGAGGGCGCGGGGCGCGGGCTGCGGTCCGGGCGGATGGCACTGGCCGCGGCCCCCGTGCCCGGGCGGAGGAGAAGCGCGCACTGGGGGCGCCACGGAGCGGGCGGGGGGATCGCTGAACCCTGAGCCCGGAGCCGGAGTCCCGGCCGCGGTGAGTACCGCCCTCGCCCTCGGGGACCCCCGGGGGGACGGGCCCCGGAGGCAGCGCAGGTCGCGGGGCCGGGTGGCCGGGGGCGGGTGCGGGGAGGGCGCGCGGGGTCCGGGAGGGGCTCCGGCTCCGAGGGGGCCGATGCCGCAGCTGAGCCTCCCGCCGCGGGTTTACTTGGGTTCCTGCGTCCGGATGGGTCTGGAGCTCCTGTCAGGTGTTGTCCCAGGGTCTGGGGGCCTTGGGGCCGGGGGTGGGGTCACCCAGGGGTCCGGTGCTCACTGAGCGCCCTCACTCCTCCACCCGCATCCGGGGAGCCACGTGGGCGCTGCCCGCGCCCAGCCTGCCCTGCCAGGCGGAGCCGCCCCCGGGCGGGAGGGGCCGGGAGGGGGGCGGGGGCTGTGCCCGGAGCCCGCGCCCCGCCGGTGCCAGCTCGCTGGCTCTGCCTCGCGTCCCAGGGGCTCCGGGAGCCGGTGGCTGGGTCCGGGCGGGCGGGCGGGCGCGGGGCCTGCCCTCAGAGGCCAGAGGTCGCCCGGGGCACCCGGCGATTGGAGGGGGCGGAAAGTCAGCAGAGGGGAGATGCCCTTCCCCATCACCCGCCTGGACCGCCTCTAGCCTGTGAGCCGGGGAGCAGCGGGCTCTGAACCCCGGATGATCTCTGCGCCTCGGGGACCCTGGTGCCCACCGGGCAGGATCCCGCGAGGCTCCTGGTCATCCTGGAGCTGTGCTCCCCGGCGGCAGGCGCAGAGAGACTCCCCACGGCGAGGTAGGTGGCTGGCGCAGGGGCTGGGCTTGCCGTGAAGGTGCGATCTGCTCAAGTCCCGGCGTCTTTGCTTTGCAGGGCGCTCGGGAGCTGCTCAGAGCCGGGGCGCGGAGGAGCCTGGGTGCGGAGGAGCCTGGCACGCATTTCCAGCTGCGCCTGCCTGGGCCCCCAAATGTGACGGTCACTGACCAGCTCGGGAGAGGCCTCGGGGCTCCGGATGGAAAGCGTAGCGCGTGCTGAAAAGCCGCTGCTTCCCATGGGCACGGAAGGGCCAGCGGGCGGCAATGACCGTGACCCGGAGCGAGTGGGTCGGCAGGCGGCCCTAGAGAGCCAGCGGCTCCCTCCAAGGGGGTGAGTCGGGGGACGGGGCAGGCTCCTGCCACGCCGGAGTGCAGCCCTCGCCGAGGACGCCTGGGAGGTCCTGCACCCGGGGCAGCGAGGGGCTGCCTGGCCCCTGACCCCTGACCCCTGGCCCTGCTTAGGAACTTGAGGGACATCAGAGCTCCCCTGGCCACCCCTCCCCTGCTCCTCCCGGAAGATGAGGACTCTGAACACCTCCGCCGCCTCCACCATGGACAGGGCCGGGCCGGCGGCGCAGCGGGACTTCTCCTTCCGCCTGCTGACCGCCTGCTTCCTGTCGCTGCTCATCCTGTCCACGCTGCTGGGCAACACGCTGGTGTGCGCCGCCGTCGTCCGCTTCCGGCACCTGCGGTCCAAGGTGACCAACTTCTTCGTCATCTCCCTGGCCGTGTCGGACCTCCTGGTGGCCGTCCTGGTGATGCCCTGGAAGGCCGTGGCCGAGATCGCCGGCTTCTGGCCCTTCGGCGCCTTCTGCAACGTGTGGGTGGCCTTCGACATCATGTGCTCCACGGCCTCCATCCTCAACCTGTGCGTCATCAGCGTGGACCGCTACTGGGCCATCTCCAGCCCCTTCCGCTACGAGAGGAAGATGACGCCCCGGGCGGCCTTCATCCTCATCGGCGTGGCCTGGACCCTGTCCGTGCTCATCTCCTTCATCCCCGTGCAGCTCAGCTGGCACAAGGCCCGGCCCAGCACCGCCGGCCCTGCCGAGGGCAACGCCACGGCCCCCGGCGGCGAGGCCGCCGACAACTGCGACGCCAGCCTGAGCAGGACCTACGCCATCTCCTCCTCCCTCATCAGCTTCTACATCCCCGTGGCCATCATGATCGTCACCTACACCCGGATCTACCGCATCGCCCAGAAGCAGATCCGCCGCATCTCCGCCCTGGAGCGGGCGGCCGTCCACGCCAAGCACTGCCAGGCCACCGCGGGCAACGGGAGGCCGGCCGAGGGCGCGCCGCCCGAGAGCTCCTTCAAGACGTCCTTCAAGCGGGAGACCAAGGTGCTGAAGACGCTGTCGGTGATCATGGGCGTGTTCGTGTGCTGCTGGCTGCCCTTCTTCGTGCTCAACTGCATCGCGCCCTTCTGCGGGGCCGGCGAGACCCAGCCCTTCTGCATCGACGCCCTCACCTTCGACGTGTTCGTGTGGTTCGGCTGGGCCAACTCCTCCCTGAACCCCATCATCTACGCCTTCAATGCCGACTTCCGGAAGGCCTTCTCCACCCTCCTGGGCTGCGACAGGCTCTGCCCGGCGGCCGGCAACGCCATCGAGACGGTCAGCGTCAACAACAATGGGGGCGCGGCGCTCTCCAGCCACCATGAGCCGCGGGGCTCCATTCCCAAGGACTGCGGCACGGTGTACCTGATCCCGCACGCTGAGGGCGCCTCGGGGGGCCCGCGGAGGCAGGAGGCGGGCGGGACGGCCGGGCCCCCCGACAGGCTGTCCCCGGCCCTGTCTGTCATCTTGGACTACGACACGGACGTCTCTCTGGGGAAGATCCAGCCCCTCACTCAGAACGGACAGCACCCCACCTGAGCCCCGAGGGGCCTCCTGCCGGCCGCGCTCACCCCCAAAGCGAGAGGGGACGGGGGCTAGGGGGGAGGGGGATGTCGTCTCTGGGGCTTGCTGTGCACAGACAGCAAAGGGACGGCGAGACTCGGGGTGTCCGGCCAGCCTCCCCCTGCTGCTTCTCCTCCAACACAACGAACTCCGTGTGAACATGCGTCCCGGCGTGTTTTCCCGTGTTCTTCCTGGCGAGTCAAAGAGCCACCCATGTTGAGGCGAGGGCTCACGAGAGACCTGTCGTTGGCTCCCGACGTGTTTTTAGAAACCGGTCTTTTCTCTTCGGACTCAAAGATAGGGCAGAGAGCCCGCAGGGAGCAGCTGGCTTCACGTGGGAAGGACGCGGGGGGCTGGGGGGTGGCTGTGTGCTCACAGGTGCTAACGTGGCCGGAGCACAGCTCGCCTGGTGAGAAGGTAGGTGCCACCCTTCCCCAGCGATTCCTCCCACGTAACTGAGCCTTACAGCACGACTGCCATTGCTGTTGTGGTTTTTTGTTTTTCGTCTTTCCCAGAACTGAGAGATATATCCACTTTGTGGCTATATCGGTTTTATTTATTTATTGTACGATAGGGATATTTTTAACTTATTATAATAAATCTATATGATCGTATTTAACAGGACACACGAATGGGCTCTCTGAGACCTCCCGACCACACGTGTGTCCTCTTAACTAGCACTTTATCGGCCCTGAGCGCACGCTCGCGGCCTCTCGGAGGTCCTCGGTGCCCAGGCGTCGCTTCCCGCCGCACAGCCGAGGCTGGCAGGACGGGCCTGTGCCCACCCCGTAAAGCCCCCGGGCACAGGCAGAGCCGCGGGGAGAGCTGGCGGGTGCTGGCAGTGCCCGTCCCCCTCACCGTGGGGAGGGGCCTCAGGAAGCACAGCAGCTGCCGAGTTCAGAGGCTTTTAAGCCACCGAGACCCGCTGCTCTGTAAATACCTTTCCAAAGGCCGGAGGTGAGAAGAAGCCAACTCGAATTGTGTCATCTGAAGGGTAAGAAAAAATTATGTCACACTTTGTACGCAGGTGAAATCACCGGCCCTCGGGGGTCTTCTCTCAGCCCTCGTGCCAGAGAGCTTTTCTGAGCCACGCGGGGCTGCCCTGGCGCCGAGTGCCGTGTGCACCGCGGGCACCGCGGGCACCCTGCCCCTCCTCCCTCCCACCAGGACAGATCACGGCTGCTTCCGCAGCGCTTTCGTCTGCATTTACAATCGCTTTTTGCAAAAGTCTAAATGTTAACGGTATCCTAACAACGAGTGCCTCATGAGCCTTCTCCGGGTAGACACTTCTTTCTGAAAAAAAGAAACCAGGAGCCCCCGCTCTCCGGGCGTGCCAAGCACCTCGAAGCCACGAACAGGAGCCCTCCCTCCGCGCCCTGGGTCCCATCCGCTGTCACCAGCAGGACTGCACGGCAGCGCCCGGCCAGCCTCGGGAGACACTGACCCCCGCGGGCACGGCGAGGGCGCGTCTGTGCCGCGGTGACAGCGTTTCCTGGGGGTGGGGGGGGGGCTCAGGCTTGCGGTGCGGGTGAGGCGGGGGACGGGAAGCAGGCGGCGGGCCGTGACCTCCGCGGCAGGTCCGTGTGACGTGGGCATTGTGGGTGTTCCCTGCCTGGACTGCTGTATGCTTTCTCACGTCTAATAAAGCTATTTTGTGAACTCACCTCAGCCCCCGGGGAGCCGTGTTGCGTTTGTGAAATGTGCTTTAAAAACACGTCAGCCTGCCAGTCAGGAGGCGTGGGTATTGTCACGGCTCTGTCCCCCTTCCTGCTTTGTAACGCGTGTCACCGTGGCCTGTCAGCGTGTAAGCAGGACATGCCTTTGATCTGGGCGACATGCTCTTGTTTCCTTCTGCCTTACAGACTTTCCTTTCTTTTTTTTTCTTTTTTTAAGAAAAGAAACCCTTCCTTCTTTGAGGAATGACTCCACGTTTCATCCCACAGATCGGAAGGATTCCTGAAAACCTCTGCGCTTGCTTTCACAGCACCGGGGACCTGGGCGGAGGGGAACGCTGCAGAGCAGGCTGTGGCTGCTGTCGGCGTGGTTTGGGCTCTTACCTGACGATGGCCGAGGGGTGTGTAGTGTTTGTTTGAAGAGTGAGTAGAACAGAAGGTGGTGGCTGTCTTTTCCTGGAGGAAATGCACAGGCTGTAATGCTGGGCTTGTCCAGCGTCTCACGGAGCGCCCCCCTCCCCTTCCGTCCTGCCCAACCTGTTCAGTGAATGTGCGAGCCCCTCCCCTCCTTCCCGCCCCGAGGAGGAGAGGGCGAAGGAAGGGTTAAGGTTATCGTTCGGAACGTCCCCCGGCAGATGGTGTCTTTTAAATTCCATATGTGCCGTCCCCAGGCCTTGGCACGCAACGAACATGCCTGGAGCAGACACCCGGCATGCGTGAGGCCTTTGCTCTCTGCCTCAGAACTTCCCACGTCTCTTTCCTCTCTGAAGCCAGCGGGAGAGGCCGGGCAGCAGCTCCCTGCTTACCACGCAATCGTGTCACCAGCCAATGAGGGGTGCCAGTACCTGGTCCAGCCTCGGGGGGCGTTGGGAAGGCTCCGGCCCTGGGGGCTGCAGGCTGAGAACCCCCAGGGTCTCTCGAGCCTGTCCCCATGCCGGGCCTGGGACGCAGGCCGCCAGGGCGATGCTGTGGCAGCCCCGGTCCTCACGGCAGCTGCATTCCGGGCCGTGATCGTCCGGGACGTCTGTGCATCCCTGAGCCTGTGTACCCGTCTGCGACACAGGGATACGTGTGCGGTCTGCCTGAGGGACTCTGAGGCCTCGGTCTGCGCCGAGCGTGGGCTGGCTGCCCCGGCGGGATCTGGGCTGGGAAGGGGCTGGTGACACGATTGCGTGGTAAGCAGGGAGCTGCTGCCCGGCCTCTCCCGCTGGCTTGCAGCAGACGCGCTGAGGCGGAGAGAACAGGTGGCTTGGGATTCTCCACACACAGTCTTCTGGGCTGCGGTTACCGGTGCTCCAGAAGCGAGAGGCTTTGGGTAGTCGGGGGGCTCAGACAGCTGCCTGCCTGACCACCCTGCATTGACAGACTGAGTCTGCCCGCTGGGCTTTCCTCTGAAGCCTCCCTGCCCTGCAGGATTTGTTTCGGGGACCGAAGGGCCGGCCGCTGGCTCGGGGCCGGGGAGATCAGGACCTGCGGCTGCTCCAGCCGGTGCCTGTGGTCCCGGAGGGAACGGCCGGTGACGAGGAGACCCCCGTCTCACGCAGCTGAGAGGCACTCGGTGGCTTCTTTGGGGTTCCCCTACCAGCCTGTTGAGGACTGGGGTGGGGAGGGCGGGGGCGGGATTGCGGACAGGGGGGAGCGTCAGGGCCTGAGAACCGCTCTGCATGTCATTCCCGGCCCTGCCAGCCACGTGGCCCTCGGTTCTGTTAGGTAACTTGCACGTGATGTGTCGCATCTTTAAAAAAGCAGCAGCATTTGGCCCTGAGTCTGTTACATCATTTAAGATTTGGGAGTTGTAATTTAAATAGTATTAGAGGCTCGAGAATAATCTCTGATTGGAAAGGGTTTATAACTGTTGAATCACTAGGAGGAAATGGATCAAACCAGTTCTGTTTTTTTCCCATGCGCAAACACGAGATGCTCTACCCGCTTCCCACCTCGGTCCACACGTCCAGCCACGGAGAAGGCGCCCCCGGAGCCCGGTCCGGGGGGGGGAGCCCGCCCCCCGGCCCCCGCCCCCGCCCCCCGCCTTTCACAGCGGAGAGGCCCGCGGAGGGGCAGGCTGCGGAGGGTCCTCGGAGGACTGGGGTGCACATTTTCAATGTAATCTAAATTTTCTTCTAAAAGATCAATGGCTTGGGTAAACCACACTCCTTGAAAATGAGGCGTTTTTTTTTTTTTTTTTTTTTTTTTCATCTCAACAACAAGGGGATTCGGAGAAATGAGATTTAAGATATTTTCTGGCTTGTCAATATTCGATATGAGATCCACTCTGGGCGAAATAAGCCTGGTAGGTGTCCCGCACTTCTGTTCTCTCTGCTAGCGGAACGTGAAAAGACTGTTATTTATAAATAACATGTGACGGTGGCAGGCCCTCAACTTAGCATTTCCCGATGACCCCCAGCCCCTTTGGGGAAGAGAACACGCCATTGGTGGCAGGCCCTTCTCCCTGGGCTGTGAGTGGGTGGGAGCAGAGGCGTCTCAGGACGTAACCCTTGGTCGGACGGAGGAAGGAATGACCCAGCCAGGCAGGGAGCGCTGAGCTGCCGCCGGTGGAGTTTCTCTCTGGGTGGTGGGTGCGCGTGGCCTGCGTTCCCTGGCGTGGGACATGGCTGTGTAGAGGTCATTGTGCACACACATGTACATACATGTGCACACACACACACATACTCTGTGTGTGTTTATGTAGATCATGGATGCCATTTGCAGTCAGCAACCTGTGGCGAGCACATCCTATGGTTCAGGCCACGTGAATGCTAGAGGTGGTCACACTGTCCCGGTGTTTTTTGGAGCTGAGAGTGGAGGCAGAGATGCAAACAGGTCATCACCAAAGAGTGTTTGAAAAGTAAAATGTTTGGAGAAAGGAAATGGTTTTCCCCAGATGATGCTCCACGGCTGCGGTTCTCCACCTTCCTAATGCCGAGACCCTTTAACACAGCTCCTCATGCTGTGGTGACCCCCAACCTTAACATTGTTTTTGTTGCTACTTCATACCTGTAACGTTGCTACTGTTAATGAATCGTAATGTAAATATCTGTGTTTTCTGATGGTCTTAGGTGACCCACAGTTTGAGAACCGCTGCTGAAGAGCCTACGACCATCGGAAAACAGATATTTACATTACGATTCATTAACGGTAGCAACATTACAGCTATGAAGTAGCAACGAAAATAATGTTATGGCTGGGGGTCACCACAACAAGAGGAACGGTATTGAAGGGTCTTGTCTCGACATTTAGGAAGGTGGAGAACCACCGCCTGCGGAGTCCCGGGGACCAGCTCCCTGGCACCTGCCTGCACCGTCCACGCATTCTCTCATTCCTCTTCACACCCATCTTACCAGGCGGGCACCGTGGTTATCATCCCCACTGCACAGACAAAAGAAGGGGAATTCAAACAGGGCAGGGAGTGGGTCCCAGGTCCCACAGCCCGTGAAGCACGGGGCAGGTTTGAACGCAGGCCTGTCTGCCTTTACAGCTTCTTCTTTCTGTCGGAAATCTGTCAGTTACCAGGAACTAATCCCAACCAGGAAAGGAGCCTGATAAAGGGGGTTCAAATCACCTCAGAGGTGGTGGGCTAAACATGCTCTTTCTGACGGACATTTTAAATAGTTCACAAATGCAGCTAACAAAACCCTTTTGTTATCCA